AACACCAAATGAATTTGAAGAGTTGCAAAAGGCATTGGATAAATTTTTGGAGAAAGGCCTCATTTGAAAAAGCACATTACCATGGAAAGCATCTATATTCTTTGCACCCAAAATGAATCATAGATTGCAGCTTTGCATTGACTATTAAGGCGTCAATAATGAGACTGTCAAAAATGCATATCTACTTCTATGCATGGATGAACTTCTTGTTCATCTTCAAAGTCCAATCATCTTAAAAAAATTGGATCTTTGAAGTGGCTATTAGCAAATACCTATTGCAAAAGATGATGTAAAGAAGATGACATTCTGTACATGCTATAAACATTTTAGATGGCTTGTTTTATCTTTTGACTTTGCCAATGCTCTTCCTTGTTTCATAGATCATATAAATAAACTTTTTCAAGATCTTTTAGAAAAGTATGTAGTTGTCTTTGTCGATGATATCCTAATTTATAGTAAAATATTTGTAAAGCATGAGTAACATCTATAGAAAGTGTTAGATCGATTATGAGATAGTCGCTTCTATTGTAAGCAATCAAAGTATGAATTTTAGAAGTTTGAAATCACCTTTTTGAGGCATGTAGTGTCCTTTGTAGGCATGCTCATAGAACAAGATAAGATGAAAGTAGTGAAATATTAGCCAACTCTTAAAGATGCTTTTGAAGTTTGCTCATTTTTAGGCCTTATTGGATATTATCGCTATTTTGTTCAGAAATTTACATATATTGTTGCTTCATTAACAAGATTATTGGAGAAAGACGTCTCATTTGAATGAAAACTAGAACAATAAAATGCCTTCAATAAGTTGAAAGAGGCACTCATTACTGCTCCAATACTACAAACATATTAATCCATCTTCCTTATATACTTGACATAGATACTTTCAACTTTACTATTGGCACGGTCTTTGAATAAAAATTTGATAGGAAGCTTCAACTTATGGCATATAAATCACATAAGCTCAAAAGAACTCAATGCAATTATTTTTCATATGATCAAGAGCAACTAGCAATTGTATATGCAACAAAGATATGGCGATACTATCTGTTGGAAAAACTAGTGAAAGTTTGAATTAACCATCGGCCTTTATTACATGATTTATATTTAAAAAATATAAAATCATGACATCATTGTTGAAAAAAAAAATTATAATTCTTTGATATTTATCTTGAATATAAGCAAGGACAAGAATACATTATGTTTGATACTTTATCATAGAGACCAGACTTAAAGCTCAAATGAAAAGATGATATAAAAGTTACTACTATTAATAGTATCATTTTAAAACTAATTAAAGGAACAAAATCAAAAATAGCTACATATTGGGATACTTTTTTCAAGATAGTTATTGATTGATTGAAGGTAGACAATGTGTAATATCAAAATTATTGTTTTAGTGATGGCTTCTTCTATTTTAAAAAGTGGATTTATGTACCTCATGATGCTATATTTTAGACAGAGATACTTTAAGAAGGATACAACATTCCAGTATCTGGACATTTAAGGCATGCAATAGACTCTAAAATGGATCTTAAGGCCATGATTTTGAGCAAGTTTGGATCATAATGTTCAAGCTTTTGTGTACTCCTACAAACTATGTCAATGTAACAAAGTATGCAATGTAATATCTTTTAAGCTATTATAAACTATTCTACTATCTATAGTACTTTGGGAGTAAGTGATCATAGATCTCATTACATGTTTGTCATAGACGTCTCACAATCACATCCCAATTGCTGTCTATATTGATCAATTCTTGAAACAACTTCATTTAGGTACAATGTACTTTAATATTGATGTTGTAATACTTGCACGAGTTTTTTTTGACATTGTCTTCTGTCACCATGGGTTACTTCATGTTATTCTTTGATATTAGGATTTGTTCTTCATGAGGAGTTTTTAGCAAGCCTTTGCTCAAGGTACTATGCACATGACTTATCATATCCATGGCCTTCTATCCTCAAATATATAGACATATAAAGCATACAAATCAAATCTTAGAAGATATGATACAAGTATTTGTGGTAGTTTATAATAATCATTGAGATGAATATTTGATGTTTTTGAAATTTTCTTATAATGATAGTATTTAAGCAAGTACTGGTCATTCACCATTCTTTTTTAACACTGATCAACATCCAATTATGCCAGCAATTGTCTATCATTCCTTCAACATCAACATCTTCACAACAAAATATTTATATAATGGCTTATAATAGCCTTGTAAGAGGTATGGCACTACCTCTTTATTACATAGAATCAATATAAAGAATATATAGATAACCACAAAGAATGCAAGATCTTCCAAAAGGGTGACTAGGTATTACTTTTCAATACCAACTTTCTACTTACTACATCAATTCAAATCCATAAGTTGACACCTTATTGGTTTGGATCTTTTCACATTTTTGTAATGAATTTTGATGTTGTATACCATCTTAAGCTTCTACCACATATTCAAGTACATCCAATTTTTCATATTTTATAGCTCAAGTTTCATACAAAACCAAGATGTTTCTCAGATCAACACCAACTACCATGATCATTGATTATGATTGATAACAAATAGGAGTATGAAGTAGATAGCATTTTGGAGCACCGTTGCCTTTGTTGTCACAATAGAAATCGGTAATTTTAGTACAAAGTCTTTTTAAAAGATTTTTCTATCTATAATGTAATATAAGAACTTGTATAAAACGTCATCTATTGTCAAGAAATAAATTAAATATACCATCAAGAGCGGAACAAAAATATTCTTCATTAATATAAGAAGATTAATTATAATGGAGCATTTATATTATTGATGCATAGAGATAAATAGTAGAAACCATTTTTGAGAAATTTCTAGAAGTTTCTATAATTGAGGCTAGGTTGGTAGTCTATGTAGAATCCACTATGGAACATTCTTAAAGAGCTTAGGGGATTATCTAGATAGGAGCCACATCTAAAATTTTTTAGAAGGGACGATTATCTTGATAGGATCCACCATTAGAGATATTCTAATAGTTCCAAGATAGTTGGATAAAACATAAATATGATTGATTGAAGCCATTTGGATATTTGGTCAGATGTAGCTTCAGTTTCTTTCTCTTAATTAAGTTTGGTTTGTATTTTTTCTATTTTGTTCCATTCTATTTTTTTTTTTACTATATTTTGTCTTTCATTATTCTATTTTATTTAATGCTATTCAATTTTGTTTTAATTTTCTCTATCTTATGTTGTAATGAGATTTATATTTTTGTAGATTGGAAGGAATATAGATCTTAGAAAGAGTTTAATTCCATTTCAAACAAGCTTTTTTGTCTATTGCTATATTAATTTTACAGATTACATGAAAGACACTAAAGTTTTTGTTTCACAAAGAATTGCATGTGGATTGATCAATTGCTTGTTTCCATGCATCCTTGAATAGTTTTTGACCTTCTATCTTTGTTAATTGGTTTTTGCTAAAGGATTACATGCCGAGCAAAAGAAGATTTAATGATTTAATTTTGATAAAGATAAGTGAGTGGTTGGAGATGTTGGACTGTGAAGGCCATATTTTGAACATTCTTCTTTTACTTTGCAACTTTTCTCCTATATATATATCCTATTTATGCATGTTAAGATTATTATAGGAGCCAAGTGACAGTTATTTCATGTGAGGTTTTTGTTATTAATCTTCATGAATCTTCCCATGTAGAATGTGACTTGAACTTATAATTTGGTGAGTAGGTTGTTCCATCCAACTACTTCTTTTGTACTACATCTTAAGGAGGTATAACCATCATGTTTATCTTCAAGGAATTCCACAAAATTAAAGTTTCCTTTTATGATTTATTGAGCTTCCAAAGTGAATGGTTGGCAATTTTTTCTTATAATTATATTGAAGAACTTATATGATTAAATCCATTTATATTGAATATTCTAAGTTTTGTATTAAATGTTAAGTTAAAAATTATAAACTATGCTTGGCTAAGAATGATGATGTAATGTATATGAATGTTTGGAATTAGTTTTGCACATGTTAATATGGTGGTCTTGCTTGCAAGGCTATCATTTAAGGCTAAGTATACTACTTCATTCAATAATAAGGAGCTTTTCATGAAATCTAATTGTATTGTTCTTTCTAAACAATTATTCTATAAGAATCTATGTTCTTATAATAAAGATATGTTGGGCTTGAGATGTAAGTTTAGCATAAAGTTTTGGAGTTCTTTATATTTTCTTATGCCTTCTAATTCCTTTCCAAGATACTATATGTTGAGTAAGGCCACCATTAGGCTATCACTAATAGAATATGGTTAGATAATCCTTCTATAGTTTTTGTTTAAAATGATCTAATAGGATCACATAGGTGATTGTTGTAGGCTCTATTTTTTGTCATAAAACCTAAGATATTTCTCTAATTCTTCATTGCATCTAGTCTTCTTCATTGAAAGTTTGTTGGAGCTGTAATGTATCTATTGGAGCTTCATTATTCTTTAAGATTAGCAATTCCAGTGAGTCCAAAGAAGGCCTTATCAATATTGGAGAGACTTGTCTATATAACATTTTGTTGGTGGAAGGTGATAGTCCAAACACTTGCCTGAATCAAGGATAGATCAATGGAAAATTATAGCACACTAGTCCTTCAATTGTAGTAGCTTTGGTTCTATTAAAGAAAGGTGTTGGAGTTTTTTCTATCCAAACAAAGTGTGAACTTAGTGGTGTAGGGTGGGGACGTTGGCATGGACTTTGTCTATAGATTTTAGGATGGTCTTCTTCATCACTGGCTAAGTTGAAATAAGAAGTTTGGCTGTTTTTAAATCAATCGAGTGAATTCATTTGCCATAGGAGCACTTCTTTATCTTTAGCCAATTAATTGTATAATTCTTTGCATGGTGTGAAGTATTGCAGCAATGATTACAATGTGTAGGTAGTCTAGTATATTTGATTTTATATTCTTTATCTCTTCTAGTGAAATTGAATAGGAGTAGGATTTGAAGGAGCTTGGTTATATTGAGTACCAACATCCTAACTCAAGGTTTTACTATCTTACTACAATAAGATTTGAAGGGATCTATCACAATTATCTCACCAATGGTGTTTTTATGAAGAGCTTTTATGAAGAGTTGGGAGGTTCTAAAGATGTGTCTAAGGCCCCATAATTGTACCCAAATTGAGAGATTGGTTAGATTTGAATCATAGGTGGTTTTCAAGTTGAAATCTATGCACCATTTTGTAAACATATCATGGTTGTTGAACTTGTATTGTCTACTAAGAGTTAGAGTTTTGCCTGATTCATTAGTGAATTGGATCTCAAAATAGCCACCTCCAAGCATGGTGGTTGAGGAATATGAAGGATGCAAGTTGCTGGAGGCCCATTTGTGAAGAAAGTGAGATTCTGGATGTTTTTGCATATATACTATGAAGGTATGGTTTTCTTTGTGTGCTATTTGAGCCTGCATCTGTTCAAAAGTCATCTGTTTAAAAGTACTCTGGCTAAGGGATGCTCCAACTGTGGTATATTTGGGTCGTGGCTGTGGCAACGGTGAATCTAGTGATGTGGAGGTTTTTGTGATTCCTACGATTGCAGAATCGATTCCATATGCGTGTAGGAGAATTTCTGCATCCAGTTTCATTTGTGCTACTAGCAGCTCTAGCTCTTTGTCTATGGAATACTGATGCATTAGGCCTAGTAGAGGGTTTGATTGTAAAAAATCCTCAGCAATGTCCCACTTTGACTGAATGTATTCCCCAAGTTTCTCTAATGTGTGATGAACAAGCTCTTCAAATTTCCTTCCCAATGTTGTGCATTGGCTAGTGTAGTCATTTTGGTCGGTTGGTGTGTGCCCTAAGTCTTGGGTTTGTTCCATAGTTTCAATGATAGTGTACTGGATGGAGTTGTGATGGTGGTCCGACGTGGTCTTTCCGTCCCCTTCAATACTCATAATATTGTGTGTATCCCTCGTCAAGTCCTTCAAATGTGTCGATATTGGTGGCGGCATTGTATCCTTCTCTTGTTCAAGTAGAGTCGATCTGGAATCTCCCTCGTCTGGGGGTAGAAAGGTTAGACCTTACCTCTGAGTTGAGACTGGAGAAACTTTCACCACTTTCTTGTATTTCAGGTAGGGTGTCTGGGAAAGGAATACTTGCCTGCGAGGTCGTTGTTGTCATCGCAGGTGGTTCCTTCTCTTGTGTCCATATCCACTTCCTGCACTTGTCGCTGTCGCCAATTGGGCCTTACTTCGTAACACATAAGCTGGTTCTTTTTCTGGACATTACTAGACCCTTCCTTCCGGCGACCGCTATCCCCCCGTTTCTCCATGTCTCTCAATGCACTAGTCAATGCATTAGTGTTTAACTACGCTAAGTTCTGCTGATTAGGGAACTAAAATTCCTAAAACGCTCTAACTCTGCCGGTTACATTTCTCGCAAAATAATTGGTTGTGCGGAAAATTCCGGATCTACAATTTGTGTGTCCAATCTATCTGCAAATTGTTGCTTCGCAATCTCCTAGAGTGTTGCAAAGCTTCTTCTCCGACTGTAGCAAACTATTGTGCTCTAAAAATCCCTCCACAATTGAACATTCCGATATTTCTGGATCACTAGGATGCGTCTCCGGATTTCACGGAGACCCGCCGCTCGGCTCAGCCTCTACCATCTGATACTGCCATCTGAGCTACATCCCCAGGGCCGTACGTTCTGATGGCCGGCCGATATCCGCGACACTACTTCTTACTCGTTCTTACTGTACCCCAAAAAAATCATCCCCCTCTCAAACCCCCTTCCATTCCACCATACTCAAAAGAGAGTTAAAAAGCCATCCCAGCCATTGAAAAACTTCGACCATACTTCATTAACTTAAATTTATCAAATGAACCTAGTCAAAAAACTTATGTTAAGGCAAATCCTACAGCAAAGTCTCTGCAACTACACTAGTGCACGTATTAAAAATCCAGAGAGTTGTTCATCACATCAGCAACGTTTAAAAAATAACTAACAGAAAAACGAGTACACAGTCGTGCTCCCGCATGTACCTTGATGTAACTGTGCAATCAACCGGGGTGTGAACACCGAATCAAGGTCTGCACTCCTTCATGGGTTTGGGTGTGGGATTTGAGTTTTTTTTTCAACATGGATACACCACAAGTTTCACACACAACGTAACAGTGTGCGACCTTGATACGTGCTTTTAACTGAGAGAGGCTATCGAAAATTTCCCCACAACCAGGTTCCACGCATATTGCTTGAGTGACTGGCGAAGAATCTGCATAAAGTCCCCAAATCAAGCAATCTAAACATTTCGATGTGCAGCTCACGAACGAAAGATATTTATGACAGACACGCCCAGATAAAGCTGAGTTAGGTACTGTGTAATTTTGAGAACTTACCATGCACGCTCTCAATGTGCGTCTGCAGCAAAGATAGATATTTGAACACTTTCCCACATCCTGGTTCAGAACAAGTTAAACGAGCATCATCCTCCACTTTGGTTCCTCGCAGTACATTTGAATCCCACTTCTTACGAAGCCTTCGATGCGTCTGAAGTTCGCATTCACATTCAATGAGAGATCGCACCCCTCCCATGAGCAAAAAAACAGGTTGCCTTCGTGCGCGAGTAAATGACGATCAAGAAGTTCCAAGAGGGTGCGAACCTCCCGAACTAATCCGGCCTAAGGCACCTTGACTTCAGAGTTCGGATGGGATCTGGTAAGCATTTGGATTTCGCTGCATAGCACCCTGCTCAATTCATGCGAACAACGAACAACCAAAACCACTGGTTTAAAGAAATGATCTCCTCAAGTGATTTGGCGAACAAACAGTCAGCTGTTCACGGCATCATCATACAAAGATTTAGGGCTTTACATCCCAAAACCATGCCTGAAAATAAGGGTTAAAGAGTGTTATAATGCAGCCAGTTGCTCCAAGACAAAAAAGGGGTGCTGATATATAATATGATGCATCTGCACATGTGTCCTAAAACTTCTCAATTCCTCTTGTGAAGATCATGTGTGCTCCTCTCTTCCACAAAAAAGCGACCAGATCTTCGAAGATCTGCAACCTTGATAACAAGGTGAAAGAAACAGAGAAGCTGTAGAAAGTAGAACGTTAAAATCAGAGAAAGCAAAGCAATTCCCCAAGTACGCTACCAGGGCATTGAATGCTTTCAAGTACGTGGATTGAAACATCCCTCGAGCATTTTGAAGCCGAGACGTTCGACCTCCAGCATTCTCCGTCCTGAGTGTCTAAGATACCTAAACTATCTTTCTGCTACCTACTTGAGTAGATGGCAACACGAAAGACTTGTGATTTGAGCGGGAATGGCAAGTGACCATCAAAAGAATCTGATTAGGAAAACGCTTGCGAAGTTAGGGGCGTCAGGTCTCAGACACGAAATGTAAGTGAAAAACCACATACCCACCAATCCTATCCACATTAACGGATACATGAGAGGTGGGGAACTGAAGGAAGCCCCATCTTCGACACATTTACGGCTTGTTCCTTCAACCTGCCCTGCGTGATCTGGAACACATCCATGCTGCATCACATATGATTCACAATTTACGATACGATCAGCACCAAACGCTCATAACTTGAACAAAAGCTTTAAAATGGCAGTCCTAATCATGACACTTTGTTTTCAAAATTTGCAAGGACGTGGTGTCACATAGTCCAAGGTTGAATGCGTTGCCATGGTTGAGATTGGCCAATGTTTCGCTTGAAAAACTTCATTAAGTGCATACAAATGACACCCATTCAAACAGATTGGATCAATCAGGATCCAATTTAATCAAAACAAACCAAGAGGAATGCATAAAAGAGTCATAAAACCACTCTGGCAAACAGTAGGAAATTGATTCTGCATACGCGCAATTGGGTAATCGCAATTGGAATGGAACAAGAGGTAATCGAAAAACTGAAACAAGAAAGTGTGGTCAAGGGTAGCCACATGCAGGGTGCGTGAGGCAGAGAAGGGAAGATGGGCCAGGCGGACACGTGATGCAGGAGTTGAGGAAGACAGAGGTTGCGTGATACTGAAGGTGAATAAAAAGGATGACGGCGCACCTTCTGCTGGAACAAGTCCTCCGCAGAGCAATTTCACGATTTTGGGGAGCAAGGTCACGACGCGGCGACAAAGCACAAATCACACTCTCGACGCACAAAATGACACTACCGCTCTTTCTAGTCGAAGTTCCGTGCCTTCAGGTCCGGTACCGAACCTCAAACTTGATTAGGGCTTAATGAAGCTCAGACATCCCCGCGTCAATGAACTTATATGATCATAGCCCGGGATGATGCAATCCCCATGGCGTAGAGTATTGCTGTAACCAGGTGAGGAAGAGGGGTCCCGTTGGAATGGTGGGGGAATTTCAGCACCTCTCTTCTTCGTAATTGAAAACGGAAGGAATTGCCGCTTCGGAGCAACATCCAGCGGAGAGTTGAGAATTGAATCTAGTTTTGATGTGAGAATATCTGATTGAGGAGAAGGTCGGAGAGTGGAGGTGAAGATGCCTCGAGTGCGGGTAGTTTCGAGAAACTTCATGGAGATGGTGGCTGCATTACCAGCAGCGAAGCTGGATTTGCTCTATGATCGTCATTGGACTTGCCAAGCAGTTTTTCGGTCTGTGCCTCTGTTTCAACTTCACAGCATTTGATTGCTTTCCTCCTCTACCCACCCGATCTCTCGTTTTCCCTTCCGCATCTATCAATTTGAGGAGCGATGGGTCTGAAGAGCAAGAACATGAGTAGGACCTTCCAATAGCATCTGTGTGGCTTGGGATTCCTTTGAGCTCTGGGAAGACATTGTTATTCGAGTTTGTGTATGTGCATTTTCATGAATTTCGATCCTGAGAGTTCAACCCGATCACCCTACTATTTAGCCCAAATTGTTGTTCTGTATAGTGCACAGAGCCCTAATTTAGAATTTGCTATCGATTAGACTGGCAAATTAGGGTATTCACTGCCATGGGATTCGAGCACGTTGGCGATTTACAATCTGAGTTGCATGCAATTAGTGTTTGAACGTGTGTCAATGGTTAGCGGCGTTCAAGATGGCTCGACAGCTTTATGTTAAATCGGCGTAGTTAATCTTGGTTTCTTGTCTAGAAATGAACACTCTGCGCAAACGGTTTTGTCAGCAGTTTCTAGGGTAGGATCATGATGGGCTCCTTTTTGACGAATTGCAATGTTGTTTTATGATCAGTTCATTACCTCCTTTGGCGAAGCAGTACGTGCTGCGTCTATTATGGGTTGAAAATGCCGTTCCCCTGAAATCTTGGCAAGAATGGGCTCGACCGGAGGCCCTTTCCAAGCATCAAATAGCAATAGACCGGTTAGAGCAATTACGAGTCATCTTGCCTGAAAGGTCAGATTTATCAAACTCTACGCATTATTTGTCGATGGTGAATATTTGCCCTTGTACCGTCCCCTATCTTCCGTTTCAAGTGGAAAGAGTGACGTCCCTTTTCTCCTAACAATTATACTGACAGATTGATTTCTGCCTCTAAGCCACTGGACTTTTTCGGCGTTTCTGATTTTCTTAAGCTGTGTGAACGGTAGAGAAAACCAATAAGCGTATTTATCTTAGAATTAACAGTGGATTTTCTCTTCTGTCCAGGAAGAAAGAAGTGTGTTATAGGATGAATCCAAAACTACAGAAACAACTCCGGCAAGCATTAAGCACAGGGTGAGCTCGATTGGCTGCCTTATCCTTTTAGATGTCGTGTGGTGGATTACGGGATATTTGGAAGATCAATTCCACTCACTTTGGATTCTTTTAAGTCATTGATGCTGGTGGCAATTGGATTTCAGCATGCTGAGTGAAAGGTCATAGCTAACAGATTATCCCTGGTCGAAAGGAATCTTGGTAGTAATGGTTGAGAGATACTAGAATTTGCTAGTTGGTGTGTGGATGAAACTTTATGCACCACTAAAAAGTAATTGAAATAGAGGCTGCTAATTGTGAGCAATTCTTCAGGGGCGGGCCTCCAAGGGACGTCGTGTCTGAAAGTGTTGCTGCTAGAGTTCCGAATTCTGCGGATCTCGAAAACTATGCCATGAAACAGTGGGAGGTATGTTCCTTGCTCATTCTTCGCAACTCATGTTGTAGTAATGTGTATGGAGGATCATCTCGTTTGTGGGTTGATACAAGAATATGCACATTTCTAGAAGCGGATGTCAGATTTAAATCTTGTCTATCTTGTTGTTGCAGTCGGTGCTTTTGCAACTTGTAGATTGTGCGGCAGATGGTCCTGCGGGTCCTAAAAATCCTTTTATCATTAAAGTCTTCCAGCGATCAGGGCTTTTAACCCCGTCTAGCAGGTAAGTGCGATGCTTTGTCTGACATCTAATTCATTCAGCTTTAGGATCTTTTCAATGAGGCTAGGTTCCAAAAATTGTTGCTTGAACTAGTTCCTCTTGTGCAGTTTGTTAGAATTACTGAGTTAGTGAGTAAGTGTTGGCAGTGGCGAAGTTTGTTTATGTCAATCTTCTTCTCTGTGAAACTCTCTAGTACATGGACTGCCATACTGGAAGCATGAGTTAGAAATGGCTGCGATAATCTATAATGATGAATGACAGATTCATTAATCAAATGTTATAAACTCAGTGCTCTAAATATAAGAACAGTGTCTACCAAAGTCAGTGGAAGTGTAAGTGGCAATCGCAATATGGTTTGTTCAACGCCCAAGGCACAGATATGTTTCTCTTAGAGTGTTAAGCCCGGGGCAACTCCCTCTTTAGACACTTGTGATAAGTCCATTTGACGGTGTCAGAAAATCAGACCTAGAGGTTGAAACTAGAGTATGCTTATGACAGACCAATGAACTGGTTGATACATGGGTCCAATCGGTTGAATACTGCACTTCAGAGAGAACGAGTCGCCTTCACTCACCGACCTGGGCTTCCAATTCCTGGTGAGAATGTGTGCATGTATGTTCAACCTTGTGCTATAGTCCTTGAGCATCATATACGGAAAGATGAGCTGAATCAACGTAAGTCAGCCACATACCTCAACTGACGTCATATTGTTTGTTGCTTGACAGCTGATGGACACCAATTCGCAACTGTGGCAGCTTGTGCGGGAGTATGTTACGTCATCTGAGGTACCCTTCTCTTGTACAGTGTTGCTAGGTTTGCGCTCCTGTATTGGGTCTTTTGTCCTCTCGATTAGTGATGCACCAGATTCTGTCGGTCAGTGGCTTGTAATGATTATGGAGTTTATATAATATGCTCTTTGTATCTTCTGGCGACAGGACCGAGGGACAGATAGCGGCGAGCTTGTAGGCTTCTTATTAGAGCTTGGTTTTCATCTTGTGGGAGAAGTAAGGCTTTTCTTTTACATGTTTACCCGAACACTTGGACAACTGGATGTTCATAAGTGCATGTCTTACCCTTTTACTATTATGGGCTATCACGTTTGCCTTCCTGCTCTGGATTTTGTTGCACCTCGTGAATCCCACACGAGTCCATGAGTTTAATAGTAACTGCTGCTTACACAAGCACGCTTGCTGAAACCTGCAGGCGTATTCTGTCAACTCTTTGTCTCCTGCTCTTCAGAAGGTTTTGGATGAGCTTGCTGCCTTGGGGCTTGTGAAGTTACAACAGGTTTGTCATTTCAAAAAATGAGATATGAAACTCTAGCAATTTAAAGACAGTGCTAGGGACTATCTGTACAATGCTGAGGATTTGAGTTATGCAGGCCTAGATTATTTGTATCAACTGCAACTTTATTGAGGCTTATGTATTGTTCATGGTCCTTTCTGCAGGGTATGAAGGAGAGCTGGTATATTCCTACCAAGCTTGCGTCGAACCTTTCTGCAAGTCTTTCGGAATCAACTGATTGGCAGTCTTCCGAGGTATGTGCCTCTCGCTCGAAGACATTGTTGTCATAAGAGTTTCAAATTGTAGTGTTTATCTATGTATTATGTGAAGCCTGGTACATTCATTGTGTTGACGTCACCATTGTGCAAGTAGCACTTTTGATAGTCTTTCATCATGCGTTGTATTATCTCTTATTATTCATCAAAAACCGAGGCTTGGGGCTCTTTTTTTAAGCTAACTGAGATTTAGATTCATGACATGCTAATAGTAGGTCTGAAACCGATCAGTAGAAGTTTATGTTTATCATTCTTTGTTCCTTCATTTTCATGTCCAACATGCCATTCAGAAGTCCTTTCATTATACTATGTTTGAAATGTATGTGTTCAGCTGTTTATTTGATATAGTATGTAATGTGTTCTAACCTCAGCTAGCCCTTTCGTTGACTGATTAAGTGTGCTAATAAATGTTTACAGGGTTTTGTTGTGGTGGAGACAAATTTTAAAGTTTATGCATACACATCCTCGAAGCTGCAAACTGAAATTTTACGCTGTTTTACACGGTTTCTCCTTTTCCTTGCTCACTTATACATTTCAGGACGATCACATTATCTGCTGAACCGAAACATCACATGGGTTTTTCGTACCCCTGTTTGCCGCTTGACATCATTTCAGTACTTAGAAGGCTTGTTTGTGTGGGTGATCTTTCTTTTGCAGACTGACCATGACAGAGATACTCGAGAGTGATTATCTAGGTATCTTCACATTATATTTTATATGTATGAAAAGTAACTTAATGTTTCTAGTTTCTTTACTAATATACTGCCCTCTCCACTGAAGGCTAGAGTACCAGTTGCCGAATCTGGTTGTAGCCACTCTCACCAAGGAGAGTGTCAATAAAGCTCTTGGAAGTGGAATATCAGCGGAACAGGTATTTCGGAAAACCTGAGATTAACGCGCAAGAACGACTCTGCCTTGAGGGATCATTGTAATCGTTGTGATAATGTTTAGTGGACATCTATTCTAGATTAGGACTTTGTACTTGTATTTGTCATCCTGGATAACCTTGGCTTCTTTTTGCAGATAATCTCATTTCTTCGCAAGCATGCACATCCTCATGTTGCTCAGAAGATTCCTGTTGTCCCAGAAACTGTTTCAGATCAAGTACCCTTTTTGGCTTTCTCCTCTTCCATATTTCCTTCTGTCTATTTGTATTTCGACTCCCTGTTTTTAGAGGATATCTGTGCAGGAAGCAGTCATGTTGACGACACTCATGTTGGCTCGTTGTATGCTGGATTATCAAATATCTTTAATATTATTTATTTTTAACTTCATCTCTTAAGTTCCTCTTATGAAGTATGTACAATTTGTTATTGTTATGCCGACAATCTTTTGACGTCATGTACTCCATACTGCTGTAAAACTTACTAAATATAAGTAGATTTGCTACGAACATGCATATTCCCGTGTTGCATAATCTATTCTCCTCGTTACAGGAATAGTTTCCTGTGGTACGGTACGGTCTTCTTCCTTCTTGTTGAAGTGGTTTTTAAAGTGGTTGAACTAACTGGCGTATGTGGTCGATTGCAGCTGCGTTTGTGGGAAACGGATCGAAATAGAGTTCAATTTGAGCCTGCTTATTTTTACGATGACTTCCCCACAATGGTATGTAAATTCAGTGTCATATGCACATCCTCATGTTATGACAGACAACAGTCTTTCATTGAATGGTTTCATATTAGTGTTACGTATTCTCATCTTGAAGGGAAAAGTTGTACAGCATTATAAAATTTTCGCCTTTCATGGTGGCATTTTAATAAATTTAATTTTCCATCTCAGCTTAACAGGGAAGTTTAGAAGTAAAGCTGCTCAAATCTGTTACTCTAGACTTGACACTGCTGACAGTGTGACATTCACAACTAGTATCTGCTTATAGTCATTTTTGTACGAAGTATTTGTTAATTGTCGATCACTATTTTGATTCAATGTTCTTCTCACAATTTTCAGGCTGTTACGTCACATATAAAGTGTTACATATGCAGAAAACTGTTTATGTTGAACCATTTTTGGTAGAAAGGAACTCTTACCGCGAATGTGAAAGAACCACTTCATTCATACCATGTAGTATTCAGGAGGCAGCAGGATTAACCCGCAGCTGATGTGCGTTGAATGTCTTTTAACAGGCTATTTACGAGGCTGTTGTAGCTCATGCGCGAGATCTTGGTGGACTCCTCTTTGAAGATGCTTCTGCCAAGAGGCTAATTGTGCGATCAGACCTGCACGAAGATATGCGGCAATACATACGGAAGCAAAGCAGCGGAGCACCTGCACAGCGGAAATGACAAGTTTTTTATAATTTCGTCTTGCTCATCGCTGTGTCGAGTTGGATGACCTCATTGTCGGATTTAAGGGGGCTGCGTCAATTTTATGTAGCTAGTGCAATTTGACGCCATACAAAATTCAAGGTCCCACTTGGGTGTTATTTGTGTATCCTCCCATTTAATTTAGTAAAATGCCACCATGAAATTTCTTATTTGTCATGTATGTTTAGATTACTCCCAGAACAAGCTTTAACACACTTAACCGTCATTCTTTCAATAAAATTGCCTGTTTGAAGGACCAGTAATTGTAGACGCAAAGGTTTTCACAATAAAAAAAAAAATCAATTCTGTGAGAGTTATTTATTTGTTTCTGATCAATATTTTCATGACTACAACGTTATTATTACCATTATTCAAAGTCGGAGTTCTACGCAGGATTGTTGTAATAGATCACAGCAGTTGTGAACAATATACATCGTCTTATTGAATTTTGTTTATATTGATTAACTTTATTATTATTATTATTGTTGTTGTTTTTTAGGACCCGAATCTATAACATACATTTCTGAAATATTTTATATCTTTAAAGTATTATAAATCATTGTTAAATCTTTCAAGTAGTAAAAGCATTAGTTTTAAGTTTTGTTTTTTAAGTCTTTATTTTAAGAATTATTTCATAAAAAACACAACAATAGTTGTGGCAGCAGTACTCTTAGATATCATAGATGCAACCCGTATCACATCAAAGTATCAACTTTGCAGAAAGCTGTGAGACTGCAACAATAGCAAAAAATCTGTAGATGTTTTATGTGTTTGTTTGTGTCAACTATTTAACGTATCATTCGTATGCAAACCTCACTGAAGATACTACTAATACAAATGTTAAAAATGTAAAATAGTGCTCGTTACTTGTGCAAAATAATTTTTCAGTACTGTAATATCTATTCAAAATATATGTTTACATATATATATACACACACACACACACAATTGTTTTGTAGATCTACATTCTTTTTATTGTTTAGAAGCTTTCAATTCCATTTTTTTTTTTTTTTTTTTTTTTTTTTCAAATCAGTCATGCTCATAGTAATGTTTATGCTATTAATTTTAGTTATAGTACCTACAAGTAACTTATATTTTATCCAAAAACCTTTTGGGGTTTATTTTATTTTATTTTATTTTAATAAACACAAATTAACCATTGACAATTTAGGACTTTTGAGTTCAATGATAAATTTTAGAGTTATATGATAAGATGATGAGAAAGACGCTCATTTCCTTTACTAATTTTTGAAGACGATTGGATGAAAATCTGCATCATGTGATACACTTACAGATAAAACAAATGTTTATTTGTTTTATAAAATGAAACGCAAGAAAAAGTTAAATCTCATATTTGAAAAAGAGAACTTGCAACGTAAAAAAATTAAGAGGCATAGTCGCGATTGTTCGCGTCTGGCATAGAGAGAAAAAAGGAGGAAGAAGATGAAACCTTACTCTCAATGCTTTTGCCGGAGATGGAGGTCACCAATTAAAACAAACATATGGAAACCATTGGGTTCTTCTTACTGTAACGCATGACGTCAAGTGTTTGTGTTTGTGTTTGTTTTCTCGTTTTTCTCGTTGAATATTTTTATTTTTTATTTTTTTAAGAGGAGAGATAATTTACATGTCAAATTTTTAGAATAGATTCTGTTGTGTATGCGTTTGAATTTTTTTCATATATGTATTTTAATGGTGAACCTGCACATTCCTATCTATTCTTAATTTGCAACCTACATTAAGAAAAAATCCAATCTGTTTTTTTAGTTTATGAAGCTGTTGGTTTGTCTTATTATATATTATACATGTTTTGTTTTGTTTTGTTTTTGATGGTGTGTTTTAAAAAATATATAAATCAAAATGGTTGAGTTCAATTGTTTTGATTTCAATCTCATTAGTAGTCAAATCAAACAAGCAGAGACAATCACTGCAGTTTCATGATTAAGAAGAAACTAAAAACCCGAATCTCACCATTCATTTCAAAGTCATGTTTTCTTAAAATTTCATTTCCACGGTTGTTTTCCTTCCAGATTTCAGAATAGGTTTCTTCATATCCACAATACGATTTCCAATCAAAGCAACCCTTGAACTTGGATAATGAATGACACCCATCGAAGGCTAATCCTCCAACTTCACAATTATCTTGTGAAAGAAAACAAAATTGCAGATAAATCTGATCAAATCCTTTAATTTCATGCCAACGCAAGAATCTCATCTTCCCAACGCAGCAGTCAATCCCCAAATCATATTCAGTCATACACACATGAACAAAAACAAATAAACAAGAGATAGACAGAAAGATAGTCAAAGAGCTCACAACCTGAAGCACAATGACCCTTTGAAAGACCAACAATCTTGTCAAAGAAAGCCGCTTGAGTTGTCAACGGAGTGCTTGCCGACAAAACCATGTCGACAGTAGGGTTTCTAGGTTTGTGCATTGCGTAGGAATTCATGTTGGAGAAGCACAAGGGAGCAGAAGAAGCAATAGGAGAAAGAAAGAAAGAAAGAAAGAAAGAAGGAAAGAACAAACGAACGAAAGAAGAATGAGCATGTGAGCATTTACATGAGATATGTGAGTTTTGAGAGAGAGAGAGAGAGAGAGAGAGCAGGAAGGCATTTAGGTCAGTCAAGGGTGAGCAGCATTCGGGACGCGGATCGAATCATGCGATCTTCTGATGCCATGTCATCTCGCATCTCGCATTTCGCATTTGTTGGGTTAGTAATGAGTTTGTGTGTGTAAGCGAGAGTGTAAGTGTGTAAGTGTTAAAGGGAGAGAGTAGGGATGGCATTATTCCATGGCGGGGGATCGCCGCATTATTGCGTGCATGGTTGTGTCGAGAGTCGGTCCGCAAGCCATCTAATGCGCTGTCATGATCCTTTTGAATTGAAAAGGAAGCCATGGATAGAACCCTGACCGAGGAGCCTGGACCGACCGACCGACGAGCGTGGGTGCAACAGGAGTGTGTGTGTGTGTGGTGGGGGTTGTTTCTTCCAAGAGCCACGAGCGGGGAGTTGGGTGGTGGCCATGGATGAAAGGCTTTGGGGTGACTTACGAGAGGAGCTCGTAGATAGGGTGTTGGCCAGGCTCCCCATTGACAGCTTCTTTCGTTTGCGCGCAGTGTGTAAACGGTGGAATGCCATCATTCATTCTCACAGCTTCATTTCCGATTGCTCTCAGGTCTCAACTCCCTTTCCTGTCACGTTTTCCGCTTACTTTGACGTGATTTTTTCGATGCAGAGTTCTTGCACATAAACTGTATCGCTCTACAGCCTATGATGTCAACTAAGACGACGATGGCGACGATGGCGATGGTTTATGTATATGTGGGTGTGTGTGTGTGTGGGCTAGGTGACGTCGCCTTTGGGGCACTATTTCATTAAGGCGGACAGGCGAGCGGACAGAGTGCTGTTGGGGTACAGCTGTGCGTTGTCCAAGTGGCATCGGATTGCACTCGATTTCCTTCCCATGCAGATCCAGCCCGCGGCGTCGGCAGGAGGCTTGGTGTGTCTGGTGGCGGATTACCGGCCGTTCGCTCTATTCGTGTGCAATCCCATCACCAAGGTGGCTCGGCAGCTGCCCCCGCGCATTTGCAAACGCAGGCCGCGGATTGTGTGCATGGTGGTGGATAGGTGGGTGCAAGGCTACAAAATCATCGCCGCGGGGGGTTACCGAACCGATGACGACCGATGGACCACTGAGGTGTTTGACTCCGTCACCAGCTCATGGCGCGTCTCTGGAAGCCTCCTGCAAGAAGAGTTCACCAAGCGCGCCGTCTGTTGCAGGTTACTCACATCATCATCTCAACTGCTTGTCGTCGTTCAACCCCATATTGAATCGCTACAACATCGATTCAAACACAGCATTCAATGTGTCGGTAATACTAGTTCTTTGACACACCGGGGCGATTCTTTGCGGTGCAGAAATTCTCTGTATTGTTTGACGTGCGGGCCAAATAGCGGTTTACTAGAGTATAACATACAGCACGAAGTGTGGTCCCGGGTGAAGACGCAGCGGATGCCCGGAAACGTGAAATCTCGGCAATTGTTTCAGTGTAAAGGGAGGATTGGAATCGTGGGCAAAGCATCACGAAACCAGACTTTGGGTTTGTGTATTTGGTTTTTGGATTTGAAGACCTTGAAATGGGTCGAGTATGGAAGGATGCCTCCGGACATGTTTGATCGATTGTACAAAAAATGGCCATGCGACAGCATGTATTGTGCCGGATATGATGATATCATCTTTTTCACTCGTTTTTATTCGCCTCTTGGCTTGATCTTCAGTCTCTCCAAGTATCAATGGGAATGGGTGCCGCCTTGTCCGTTGCTCCGAGACGGCTCCTTGAACATTCCTCGTCCGAGGAATTGGTCCGTCTTCCAGCATGAACTAGATGGCTTCTCCTTTGAACCTAGATTAGACGCCAGTCCATTCCACAAGGCTTGAAAACTTATCAATGAATCCATCTCAATAACCCCAAATCTACAAACATCCTTTGCAATCTGTGATCAGCTTTTTTCTTCACTCTTTCTTCTCCCTCTTCTACTTCTACTTCTGTTTTGTGTTCCTGTTTTCTGTTGTCTGATTGTGCGGAGACATCGACCTCTCCTCTAAACCTCTGAAGCTGGAAGAATGCAATCAATATACGCAGGTTGATCTAAGATTCTGTTCCATACTGCACTTTTTCCTCCTCCTGATCTCCTTTAAATATGCACACTATTCTTCTCACTATTTCATTTTTACTGCAAACTTGAATTCTTTTCAGATGCCTCCAATGTTTCTCGATCAGTGAATATGTACAAAAAAGCACGTCAGTCGTTTTCTTCTCTTTGCAAGAAGCGGACGCCATTATCACCCAAACCTGGTGATATCTCTCTGTGCCTGTGTGAAAGGGGTTCGTCACATTCCGTAGCATATTATGCCTACTCTCCACAGCACTATTGTGTCGTGGAATGTGCCGACGTGCGACATATTCTCATCCATTAACAGTCCGACTGGTGACAATTTCTCATCGTTATGAATGAACGCGGTTCTTAAATGAATGAACTTATTACCATCCGTTCATATATCATCCACTTGGATGTCATCGTTCCTTGCGTCGTTGCAGTAGCCATGGAGATGAAGCTCGAGAGCAGGGTCCGCTGAAGCCCTAGAGCAATTCCGTCTTCACAAATTCGCAGCCAGGTGCACTGATTCGAGTAGTTTGTTTTAGCAATTAGCTGTGAGATTAGTAGTCATGGGGTTTATGATGGAGTTTGTGGAGCACTGGATTCGCCGCTCTATGGAAAATCCCGATGAGCGCGACGCGAAATTCCGGAAGCACGTCTACAGCACCAAGGAGCAGTGTGTCAAGCTGAAGGAGTCCTGGGCTAATCCCGTGAAACCCTACGGCAGCTGGAACACGGACAAGAACAACCACAAGTTCTTGCAGGATCTCACCCTGAGCCGTATGCCTGGCCGGAGCGATCCCTACGAAGATGTTTCTTCCGCTATTTCTCGATCTTAATTCCCCAGCCTTGCTTCAGGTATTATCTCTTCTTTTCTTTTTCCCCACATCTCCGATGCCATCAAACGCAGAAAGACATTTTTGGGTTTTTGTTATGATTCTGGATCTTGTCGAAATTGTGTGATCGGAACTGCAGATTCATGTGGTGGTTATTTAGGGCGAGAGAGTAATTTAGGTTTTCTAGGAGCAATCTTACTTGTGCGGAGCAACCGTTTGCTTGGTCGCCAGTGAAATGTGTGGTCTCGTACTTGAGTCGTTCCCATGATCTTAAATTGCTTAGAGGTATTTCATTAGGACCTTCAAGACCCATCAGTCACGTCGTATTTTGGAATAGACGAGCGTTGAAGTTTGTCATCACATACCTGCATTTGCTTTCTCCTTTGTTTCTTTGCAACCTTTTTTTATGGTTGCACATCTATAGCCACAATCCAACAAGCAGAGTGGATTCTTATTATTATTATTATTATTATTATTGTTATATTATTTAATCTTCTGTAGTAGTCATCAGAGGAATTGGTAGGTAATGACGCCCACTTCTGTAGTTGATATTGTAACGTGTCGCCCTACTTTTCCCGGCTGGTGTTAATAAGTTCGTTCTCGTTTACTGTGATGTACGTTGTTTAGACATAATCAGTGTGAGTTTTCAAGTCTTTTAGCCCTTATTTTGAGCTGGATGCAGGTGCTGAATGTTCAGTGTTGGTTTGCAGGATTAGCAGACGCATTGGATGCGGGTCTTAAAGAGTTGATGACCGGTTTAGTAAGATCCTTGTTTTTTTTTCTTTTTTCCTGGTTTCTTTACTCAAATAGCATCTGGGCAGGAATACTTAGCTGTTGGCGAAGTCTATCACCATGTTACTCTTGCAAACACAGTAGTGTTTACCAATGCACCATTTATCGTCTTCTTTAAGAAAACTCGAAGCAGAGAGTCATCTCTTATCGGCATTGTCACGTGCAGTCACTAACAACCTGAACTTACCCCATATTCTGAGCTTGCTCATCCAGGGTAAATTGAACAATAAACAAGTAGCATTCCATGGAGTTGCTTTATGGCTAATAACCAATGATGTTTATACCTGTGTGGGTGTGGCGGATGGTATCAGAAGGTTAGGAATGTCAATTGTTGGGGTTACTTCCCTTAAAGGTGGACTTTTGGATCGTAGGTCCATAATTTTTGAAGATTGTTTTTGACACTTGCACTAACCAGTTAACCCTAAAACACGAATTGAAACTTCATCTACTGTTACCATTTTTGGAATGCCTTGTTCACAGTCCCTTGGAAACGCTTGCTAAGTGTACTAATTCACCTTCCGGTGACTAGGCTGCAGGATTCAGTTAAGCATTACTACTTTTTGGTGTTTCTTGTACATGATACATGAAACGCTTACTGATGACTTGATCAGTTACTTTTAATTTTTAAAATGTGGTGAATTCTGGCTTGTCCGACTGCATCAGTAGGGAAATTTTTGTTCCTGAGTCAAGAGACATTTTGTGTCAGTTATTTAGATGAATCAGATATCTGCATCCATTTTATGTGTTCTCTCGGATTTTCACCATCGAATCTTAGGTACCAATGTCCGTAACGCCTGTTTCCCTCGAGCCATCTATGCATCCTGGTGTAGGAAAGCATGCCGCTTATTGAGCTGTCGAATTGCGTGCAAGCCCACAAATCCAGAAGACAGATGTCAACACATGCACACCAGGATTGATGTCACTGACCACAACAGCAGATCTGGCGTTGTCTCGTTCGTCTTTTGAGTTGTAGACGCTGCAGGAACTCTTTGCTTTGCAGCTTCGTTGATCTCAACCATCTCTACATGTACTACGTGCACTACGAAATGGCGCTACGAAAACGAGCAGAGTCGTTTCACTTAAAATGGTGCACGAGGATGAATTCCAGAAGCCTTCGCCATTTGCTTATCTTCGACTACCAAGTGGGGTCTGTTGAAGCACCTTTCACATTTCATTCACAATCCCAGACGGTAATCGATTCTTCGATTCATCGTTGACTCGACTTAGAAGGTTTTGCTGAAAACTGAACCTTTTGATAGTTAAGCTTGATTGTGGATTTTGCAAGTGAAAGTGGATTATGAAAGTGTGAACAAGGATAATATGTTGCCAGAACAGGGGTAGTCAGAGTGAGAACATCCGGATCACGCCCGTTCCGCGAACAAGCGAAGCCTTTCAACCGCATAGTAATCGATTGCTTCCTCCGCTGCTGACGTGTGCTCACCATGTTGTCATCGATGAGCATATGCTGTCCATCTCCCTCGTAAACTTGTGTTTTCAGAACCTCCGAAGTCCAGTCTCAGCATCCAACATTTGTCAGCGCCGCTTGCTTTGTGCTTCGGTGAACGATGCACGTTGTTTATTGATTCACTTCCCTGCACCGATCTGCCCACATTCTTGTAGATTATTCTACAAACTTCTTGTGGTGCCGTTTTACTTCTAACTTTCACAAATCATAGAGCTACCTCGTGGCTAAGGTGTGCGTTTTGCTTGAATGGTCTAGGTTATGGTACACAATGGTGTGTACTACGTGCATCCGTCTGTACGAGTTGCTTTCGTGGTTATCATGTTCGGCGAAGGACGGGTTTTATCAGACCCTTCAGAATCCTCCGCCATTTGGTCAAGATTTAAGCAGGTCTAGAACGAGGCGAAACACAGGTTTCTGGTAACGCTACTGAAGCGGAACAAGCCCACTGCTATGAAGGTGCATTTTCTTGGGCGGTCCGCATCCCCACGGGCGAAGCTCACATGAAACACTTTCACGCATTGGAGACTAGGTCTTGGCAACCACAGACATGGATTGCCACCCACGGTGAGTACATCCTCACAACACACGGCGACGAAGGTGATCAGAATTTGCCCGCTAATAGCAAGTAGCTTTCCCGGCAATCGTCATCGAAATTGCTAGAATGGCTAAGGTGTAAACTCTGCTTCCTATCCAAAAGAGAACAGTCCTGGCTCCGATAATCCATCGTCACAGAGTACACACGTTTTGGATTTAAGTATCATTCCCATGCCTGTCTGACATTCGATCCACGATCATGCGGTGACCCAGCTACGGAAACCACGACTATACTCGAGTTTCGCCCAACGCCCACAAAAAAGTAACTAGTCTTATCCACAGATTCTGACGTGGAGTGGCTGATATCAATGCGCACCCATACTCTCGCTAGTCGCGCGCGCGACACCTGCTTAAATACAAATCCTCTCCTCTCTATCTCGTTGCAGTATTCTCACGATCACACGCCGCCACCGTCTTTTTCAATCCCCATCTCGTGTTAGTCGAGAGAATTAAGCTATGGCATCCTACGTCGCATGCCAATCGATGGTCGCTGCGTCCGTCTTGTCCAAGACCTCCGTCATCAAGGCTACATCCGCCACCTCGAAGTCGCAGCTCTTCGCTCCACTGAGACTCAAGGAGTGCTCGTCTCACGGGCCCAAGGTGGTATGCGCAGTGGGTGATGTCTCTGCTGAAGGTACGAACTACCTTGTCGCTGGCGCCATCGCCATCGCTCTGGTCGGCTCAGCTTTCCCCATTCTCTTCTCACGCAAGGACCTGTGCCCGGTGTGCGATGGCGCCGGATTCGTTCGCGAGACAGGCTCCGCGTTGAACGCCAATGCCGCCCGGAAGGACCAAGCCCAGATTGTCTGCAAAAACTGCAATGGGTTGGGCAAGGTGGGCCAAGTTGACAAGGCGGAGCAGGTCGTTGCCAAGGGCAAGAGGAGGTAGAGACGCCTGAGATTGCGCAATTCGTCGATTCCACAGCATTTGTAGCCCACGCATAGCCAGTTCCCCGAGAGATTGTCAGCTCTCTATTGCAGAGCTTGGTGTTGTATAGTCTTGTGAAATAGAACAAATATACTCACATGGGTCTTTTGACTTGAGACTTTGTTCGTTCGAACATCTCCGTGCCTCCTAATCCTCTTTGCTACGTCGCCCCCTTCCTTTGCTTCTCTACTCAACCCTTCTTCGTCGTCCCGTGTCGTCGCTTGTCTTTGTGCACCCATCGCCTTTGTTGGATGGCGTTCATGCCCTCACAGCTTGTCCTCCTCGAATATGGCTCTTGTTCCATTCTTCATACCCGTCGCTGTGAGAGGAGACTTATCAGCTGGAATTGGTATTGTTGTTGCTCTCTTACTACCTTGAATGGAGTTAGGGAACCGCTAGCAATGTTATTGAAGGTTTGATTACTTTTAACAATCAAGTATTCTTGAGCAAAAATTTAAGTTTCGTCTTTTTCCGAAGAAGTTCTGCATGTGTGTATGTACGTATATATGTTTAAGCAGATTTATATCGGGACAGAGTTTGATTTCATTACTGTTTAGTGATTGTTATTGTTATTTAATTTTCCCTTGTTATATTGCTGACATTTTCAATGTAACCTGCACTATGCAGTTCAAATATCATTAGAATGGAACATGTATCACTTTAGAGTGCATTGTTTGTGATTTATACCACTGAATCCATCTAATCCGAGTTGGAGTTGGCAAATTGCATTCACTCATCAATGGTCAGAGTTTGGAAGTTGAATATTTCGCAAAAACAGTTTGAATATTGTGGCAACAAATCACCCAATTGGAGTTTAAGTGTGCAGATAAACTTCGTGTAAAATATGAGAGTGACATTCCTATGCCATCTTCATGTTTATAATCTCATAAGCCACAAAAGATGTCTTAGGACAATTTCCTCTGATAATTAAAACTTGTGTTTGAAACTTAGTGAACTCTTACGAACCAAACATTCGAGCAAACAAATATACAATTGATTAAATAGATTCCTCTTTTATTTAATTACTGTAGAAGATTAACAGATGAACTGTAAGGAATTCAAAAACAAAGTTAAATACGTTTAAGGAGGAGGAATGTCTAAGAAGAAATAATTAAACTTGCTGAAGAGCTGAGTTTATACTTGAATACAATGGTCAACTATTGGAAGAAGAGAGCGATCAAAGAGCACATAACATACTAACCAGCAATCATCCACAACTTATAACATTCCAAATTTTACCGAACCAACATCATACTTCCTAAGGCCATCATCTTGTGGGAGAAACCAATTGATTGCAAAAAATTAGATGCATCATTTCTGCCCTAGAAAGAGGGACATTCTACCTGGCTTGTCAACAGAGCTATTGTAATGAACGTGGTTCACAACGTTGAAGCTGCTGAAGAGGCATGCAAACTCGGATTTCCATTCCTGCACAATGCATAGGGTAACTACATGGACACGTTCAGTTGGACCTCTCAAGCACGTCACAAATGCTGTGGGACTCAAAATGTATGATTGGTTGAGGACATTCAACGTCGATCGTATAATAAGGTCATGAATGCTATGGTAGTCTTTAGCAATGTGAGAAATTTAGCACTGCAAGGTCAGTGATGAATTTGTGATAAAGTAAAATCGTCCAAAGAAAATTTACAAAACTGTACAAGAGTCTTCTTATGACTATTCAACTGAATCGTCCATTGCTTTGACTTGGAGGTCAGTAAGTCCTGCCAAAAGCACAATATCTCATCGTTAGTGGACCAGCGGTTGAAGATATGGATTGATTGATACCCAGCACACAACCGTCTAAGACCAAAAATGCAGAGACAAAATACAAAAACATTATTATGACATCGCAAGTATACATGACCGAGTTCATATCAGAAAAATTAAAATACTAAGCTCGACCCAACTTGATGAAGCATGACTTGTTAAGTACTCGATTAGTCAGGTACGAAAGACTAGGTCTGACCTGACAAAACTGCTTCAACTGCGGTGTTAGGAATGTGAAGACCCACAATCCGACGACCTTCGGTGGTCGTCTCAAGTCGCACAACGCGCAACCTCTTGTGACTTTTTCTTATCTGTTGTAAGTTTGAATTAGAACATGTTTAGTACTACTTTCAAAGAGGTATTGGAAATTTCCAACAAAATCAGCGACTCACCTCCGTGTTAGCCAACAATGTAGAACTAAATTTGCTTGCTTAACATGGTAAGCACTACTAATGACCTATGAAAGTATGATAATAGCAGAAGAGTGCGAACCTGTTTAGACAGAGCCTTCTCCACCGTGCCCCACACGGGTAAAATTAGGCCTCCCAGAATATGTACCTGCTGTACTCTCCTTCCAATCGTGCAGCCAGACCCCAATTTGCACTTCGGTCCATGCAGACACTGTAAATACAAAATAAGCACGATAAGTTGCTTTGAGGAGCACCAGCACCTAATGCGCATCTCATTGACAAATGCAGAAATACACGAGAAAGCCTTCACAGATTTATTTGAAATGATTATTAATGTAGACTCCCGTATTGTCAAAGCGAGTTAGAACAGGGACAATGTTAACAGCTCATTATATTAAAATCTCATTAAAAAACCAGGTCTTTTGATGTCACTTGGAGTAAGGTCACCATTTGAGGAAATTTCACTTTGTAAGAATGTAACGTACTTGATCTGCTGAGATGGTGAAGTCCTCAAGCCAACCAGCCTTAGCCCGGTCTAATGATGATTCCTTGATATACTTGCTACGCAGTTCAGATAATGACATCTCCCTGAAAGAACACAATCCACTCCTCATCATTCTTCCATGCACAAATCACTAAGTCTCTCTAACATTACAAACCCATCTCAGCCATAAGACTGATTATTTTCTGTTGATGGATTATAACTAACTACCATTGACTGGAAAGTTACGGAGTAAGAAATTGGATCAATAGCATAATTGGAAAAAGGAGCGAGCGAATTAAATACTAACCAACGGCCTTTCAAATACAAGGCAAATGAAAGGTAGTAAGTGAAGGAACAGTTGCAACTTATAGAATACATACCTTGGAGCTTCACCACTAGCCGGTCTGAAGACTCTGAAAGCTTTAGGATTTGATCCAGATCTGTCACAAATAGGAATAGATATTATGTTCTGTAAGGCGAAGATCTCCTTACTGAGAGCAACTGCAAAGAATGATCCTGAGAATCTCTTTTTATCTACCAAGAAAGACATTAAAGCCTCAACTTCTAATCACCCAATTCTCACCTTTCTAGGGCGAGAAGATAATGTGTTCTACCAAGCCATTCGCGTCTAGATCGATAAATGGAATTATCACTGCCATCAGTGTGATCTTCAAGTAACTTACTCGCAGCCTAACACAGCACAGAAAATTAGAGTTGAATCGCCGAGTCCCTGAGTAATAGAATTAAAGAGGGGAAAAAGAAAAAGAAAACTATGAAATTACACATCCGCGAAACATCTTGGAAAATTTTCGAAGTGGATCTAATATCCTTTTCAAAGGCACAAGGAACCATTTTGAAACATTGGAATATATGGATAGCAAAACCAAGCAAATACACTTCTATGAGGATACAAATCGAAATTAAGAGATACTTAGATAAGGTGAACTGAAGACAAACCTCCCAAGTGAGACCTCGATCTGTCTCCAAAATAAAAAGTGTAGTTGGCGCTCCAGACATAGAGTCCACATGGACTGTCTGCATGACGGAGATGAGATAGACAAACACAAGAACCGGCATTCAGTTGAAATGTATTCACTAGAGGTAAGAATTTTCAGATATTAGAAAGCTAACCGCATTACAGTATGCACAAAATGCACATAAAAACCAAGATCGAATTAATTAAAAAATGCAGACTGGAATAAATTAACACTTGAGTCAAAGCTACCACTGTACTACGTTTTCAAAATACTACAGACAATGCTAGGAAATGATAACGGCAAATCAAACAAGTGAACCTTTAAAAACCCACTACAATAAACAAAAACCATGGCAATAATAGAAGCAAATTATCAAACCTTTGGAGCACCACATAATTCGATTGTGCTGGCCTTAATGTCCACTATTCCAGAATCAAATTGACCCTCTTTCCGAGCATCCCGTATGAGTTCATCAAACACACTTACAAAAAACTCAAAGAGCCTGCATCAAAAAGAAGAAAGAGACCCAGGAAGTCAACTGGCTATAAAACCTTCAACGGATACCGACAACGACGCATCATCAATACGCACCCAATTACATTTCATAAGTAGTGGCACTCTGAATCTGTTTTCATATATAAAAGCCAGCCGTGGCTTAATTTGAGGAATGAATTCTGCCTGTCCACAATCAGCCTATTCAAGAAAGACGAGGGAAACCAGACTCTGACAAAACACTACCGATTTTGGATATCTGGTGGTAGCCCTAGAGCCCTGTTGAGAAACCTCCCCACGTCATGCAAATCCGCTTCTGCTATCCTTCCTGAGGGTCTTGTAAATGGCTTTGTTGTACCATTACTTTGATTTACTGCACAAAGAAAGCATTTGCGACAAAACTTGTTGGCCAACTTCTTCACATTAACGTAAAACTTCTGCCTAAATCGAAGAACTTAACGCTGCAATCACTGAGAATTTAAAGCTCTCACAACCAACCTAGAATGATCACTACATGTTCAGACCTTCGCTAAACAAAAATTTCCATACAATCAGCAGCGAGAAAAATACTTACCACCGACTGCATCACGAATAATCCCTACAGTAAGAAGCGCCTGCCTACACTGGTGAAAGAAGTCCTTCGCCTTGGCCGAATCTCCACTAGGACACCCAGGTGGTATTACCAACGGCTCCACCTGAAACAAAAGAAAGCGTCGTATCATCCTCAATCTAACCAAGGTCTGCTTAAGAACATGACCAGAAATCATTAAGGCATTATGCAGCACGATAGGGACACCCTCAAGCATATCATCTCACTGATCAAGTGAAAATCGTCTTAGGGCGCTTCATTTAATCAAGACTCCTACATCACCACATTTGGGTCTTAAAGATTGATTAGTGTTACTTGCTCAGGGTGCAGTATGATCTGTATACATATTTCTTGAAAGTTCACACAGAGTAACCCAAACCCTCTGGAAATTTCCGTTTCGACATCCATACGATAAATTATAATTCTTCAGAAAGACGAAGCTCGCAATGATTATACAGGCAGCCAAAGTCACCAAGTTTATACAAGCTACCAGTTTCAAAAACAAAAAAGAAGTACCTATATGCTGAACAATAATTATAAAAAACCATAAATATAAAATAATGTCAATGATAGTAACTCAACCTGCTCCATGATAGACTTATATGTGCTTGCAAGTGCCTTTTTTCCATAAACACTGTCATAATTGAAGGCACTAAGTGACGGGCCAGCTCTGAACAAAGAAAAATCATATTTGTGAGCACAGAACTGACGACCTGATTATGCATAATACTACTACACATTGATACTCAAAAAAAACAAAAAAAAATAAAATAAAATAAAAAATGCATATACGCTGCTCAGCTTTTCTACAGAAGCTTCTCAAACACAGGCTAAAATCCGGGAATGAAAGTCATGTCGCAAGCAGGAGCCACATGCAATAGAGACTTCTATCATTGTTATGATTGTTGACCTTCTATCACCCTGAGTCAGAGCCCCGAGAATCTCCAGACGCTTAGCAACAATGGATGCAAATCGACGCTCTCCACCAAGATTTGTGAACAATAATCTGCACATTACGACCAAATTGAGTAGTCAACTCCAGAGGAAAGAGGCCACTTACAATTCCATACTAAAGATGCTTGAACTAGTAAATATTTGACCAAAGAAAAAAGATATGTAATTCTTATGATCAATTCGTTCGTCCCAAACTTATGCCGAAGTTAGAAAGCCGACATCATAGATGAAGTCCTCAACCTCGAATCATTGAACATGCAAACCCAAATTGTGGAAGTGGCTTCCGCCAGAAATTGTTGCGGCCAAATATAAGTAAACTCAAACCAGATTGTTCAACAGTACAAGGCAGTTGTCGCTAATTATGGATTCCACACTGGGATATGACGTGGAAAACACACTGGGCAGGAGAATGTAGGATCCTACCTGTATTGAGGAGCAGAAGTTTGATTGGATCTGTGAGTTCTCCCAAATTGTTGGATTGCACGGTCGGCACTCCAAGGCAGTTCCAATGTTATGTGCACTCTTCTCCTCTGTCACAAAAATTAACCAAAGGTCAAAACAATGCAGGAAGCCAACCGGTCTGCGACTGATAGTCATGATATGCGATGCAATACTCTCTTGCCACTGGTCAGTCGTTCTGCTGAGAAAGAAAGAAATAGTCCATGTAAAATGCGACCAAATACTGACCTGATTTGCAGCTCTTCTGTCTGCTTGAAGAGACACTCCAGCTGATGCTGCTTCTGAAATGACTGCAACATATTTCTTCCCATCCATAAATTGCTGCTTCTCGTGCATATTAATCATTTCCAATGTTACGTCTTTTCTGCATATAGAACAAAGATCACTAAGAAACTAGCTGGAACCATTTCTTGTGCATTGAACGCTCATTTCTACCCGCATCAAGGCAGATAAAAGGAAGAAAAGAGTTACAAATCAATTGGTATAAATATACTTACGTGTTTCGCGCTTGGTAGATAACCCCTTTTCCATTCTGTGCTCGCACCAGCATACCCCTCCGTCCAGTCATTTCTGCAACGCGGTCTGGACCTCCCAACTGTGCAAAGAGGTAAAATGAAAGACTCGAAACTCCAATGCCATAAGGATTTATCCAGAAAAAAATTGAAGACTTCAAACTTCTCCAAATCAGAGTTTTCCAGCTCATATTTGAGGAATGAATCCAAATCTCTTCCAGCCTTTGAGAAAATGAGAAGAATGAGGACCTGATCAATAATATCATCCAATGGATTGTTTGGCAATTCAAGAGCTCGAACAGTATCCAAGATCTTACTCTTCCTCGCCTTTGCCACTTCATGTCTGTACAGTGCATAAACATACTAGTGAAATGATGCTTCCGAAGGCGTGGGCAATAAGTCTTCATTTTTCAAACTTTAATAATGCCTCGTACCGACAATTTAGAACATTGCATAAAAAAATTCTAAGTGACAAATAACGACAGAAAAGTTCAGTAAAAGACAAAGACTGGATTTAACCTGCGCGAAACTACGGAGAAATAGCGGCGACGCTCTACTTGATAATCGCTGGTCTTCTCACCACATCCAACACAATACCAGTCGCAATCTGCATTTTCTCCTAGAGGTGGGGTAAGACAAGCTGGATGAACAACAGTTCCGCACCTAGTGCACTCCAAAAAATGATGCGCTACCTGCAAGCCAGAAAGACCATGACAGATGAGGAACATGATGCATTGCTTCAATGATAGTAAACAGGCCAAGGTCATATCAATGCGGCCTGGATTCAGATTAACGTAGGTTGTCGGGCCAATGATATGGCCAGAGGATCAAGACAAAATGAGAAAAAACACATATACGAATCAAGAAGTTGATCTTCTCAACAAATAAAGAAAGTGTTGAGCTAAAGAGCCCAAGTTACCAACTTTACATACATCTTCAATCATGCAAACATGACAGGTGCTGCTTTCCTCTTCACTTCCTGCCGAGTCTGGATCTGATTCAGCTGCACAGCCAAGTTAACAACCATCCCAAAAGTCACCTTCTTTAAGACAACAGTGAAGTACCTAATAATAATAATAATAATAATCCTTAAATAATGAGCCGTTTTGCATTGAAGAGGATCTCATAAAAAGATTTTTCAACAATCTAAGATCAAAGACTGAGACTTTCTTTTATCCTAACGAAATCATTCTAAGGATCCTATAAAAGCATACGAACAGTTCATTTGAACAAATATGAGTACAAAACAAATAGTAACATGCAACCCCGAAGACTTTTCATTAGAAGCAAAGGACTATTACAAACCTTCTGCAGTTGCAGGATCCTGAGGAAGAGGATAATGTTCCTCTACGAGCTTCAGCAACAGCTCCCGTGGCCCTGACACAAAATCATCAAGCTCGACGCCCTGCACAATAGCAATGATAACATAAATTACTCTACTTTTTGAAGGGGCTTGCGCCAACAATACTCAAGTTGCGAGGTGCGTTACACATGGCACGGCACTGAAATACAGTAGAACAATTGCAGCAATATTCATCCCATATTCTGTCAAGAACTGATGTTGCTACATGAACTCGTTGTTGATCATCAGAATGACATTTCGTTTCTTCCCACGGACGTAAAAGCAACATATTATACATAAAACTTGCTAACAGCATTCAGTTGCTGCACAGACACTACTCAGTATTCTCTACACCATTTATAACAATATCAGAAAGAAAGGTGAGTTCAAGGAGCTCACGTATTTGTTTACAGCTTCTTCTGTGCGTGCTTCACCTGTACTTTGCAAGCCTATCACAACACATTTCTCTTCTTCCAGTGCCTGCTTGGCTAACCTTACAGCTGCAGGCACTTTTGCAGACATGCACATGTGACGGAAAAAGCGCTGCAAAGAACACGAAAGCACCAAACATTACAACCAGAGAAAATTCGCATTCTAGTTTTTCCAATATTACCAGATCCAGTCGAGAAATCAACAGCCTTGGTAATGAGGCAACCAAGGGTTGCTCCAAATGATTCTGGCTTTTACTATTCCTTAAGCCGTCAGCACTTTCAAATTAGGGAAAAACTGGACCCAGTGTGTTAAGTGTTGTGATTTATCATGAATGACAGGATGTGCCCATTAATGCATAGTTCATCAACTATTTTCAGGTCCTATAAATAACTTAGTAAACAAAAAACGCCAGAACCACAAAGCATGAGTAAGATGATAACTTGATGATTTGCCCAGTATAACCGCCAAAGTTGATTTTGACTTGGTCGCCTTTCTTGAAGAGCGTCCAAAGCAGACATGAGTTCCACACGCAACGTACTCCAGAAAAAGCATGCCTGCATGTACATATTCTGTAACTCAAGAACGCATTAGAAATTACTGCTTAAGTAATCATGTGTAGTTTATTTGATCTTCATCAAATGAGACTATCCACATATTATGCTGAAAACCACAAGTCACAAACCTGCATTTTGACCTCCAGAGGTACTTCGTCGATAGAAAAATCAGCCCCTTTGAAACTGAGTGTCCGACAGACGTACATCCCTCTGTTCAAAGGAAGAAGAGCATAGTCAAAGGTACCGACTTGTTAAAACACTGATCTGAAACACATATACAAGAGATTACACAAACATTTGAGGATCAGAACCATAGGGGTATAGAAGATTGAAAGTTATACCATACCTTGTTTTCATGTCCATGGCCACAAGCTCAAGAGCTCCAACTCCACGCTTTTCAAGTGCACCTGTTGAAGTCATTCCAAACTAAAGAGAATCAAATACAGACTCATTAAAAGAAATATTGCAAGAAATGATCACAACACACACAATCATAAATAAGAATATAGGTCGGAATTTTGATTTTACACATGAGCACATGATACAAGCTCACCACTTGTTCAACACCATTGGTCAAACGGAGAATTGAATAACACCAATAAGAGACAATTAGCACGTACCAAGAAAAGCTGAGAACTGCGGAAAGTCTGTTCCAGAGCCCCACAACCCAAGACGGGCCATGTAACCCATATTTCGAGGTTCGGATGCTCCAGTGGCTGAGCAGTAGACGACACGAGCGTCTGGCATTCTGTTCTGTATAACCGTACCCACCAAGAATGAGTCATTGTTCAGCGTGACCAACAAAATTAAATTGAATGTTTTTTTGTTAAAAAGACAAAAAGACAAAAATTTGAAAAATTTAAAACAAACAACAAAACAAAACACAATTCCGACAAATCTTCGATGTGCGTGTGCGTGTGAGAGTGTACACACATATAAAGTCACATCTGCATAAGTAGATGCAAGATGAAACATTTCTAGTCCTTAGTCAGTGATGCTTTCTAATGCTTTAATCTGAATGACTTTCCGAATATGGTATGTCAATCTTCGAGGGTACTTAACATAAAAAGACACAACATAATGAGTTAGATTCCGACTTGACAATAAAAGAAGATCCAAGCCCCGAAAATCGAACATAACGCTGCAAAGTAGTACACATCTCAAGCAAAATGTTGCAATAAAACACAGGGACATACTTGTATTTCGAGAACCGCTTCACCAGTTCGTGTGGCTTGACCTCCTGCTTCGGGAACAAGGTTCTTGGCCTTGTGACACTGAATGCAAAAACAATCAAAATGAAACTGTGAAAATGTTTTCACAAACAAGCAAGATAATTATTAAGATGATAATAAAAGCTCTCTATAATTGACATGAAACATCCCAACAACTTACAAATGTTACGAGACTTTCATGAACAATTCCATGATCAAGAATCCAGGAAACCTTGGCTAAGAGGATTGATTAAGATACAATATAATCTTAGATAGCATAACTTAGAAAAAAGAAAAAATCAAGTGCAATGTGGGAACCTCATCAAAAACCAAAAGCCCGTCAAAATCAGGACCACACCACTGCACCAGCTGCTGCAATCTCGATCTTCCTTTGTCAGAAGATGCTATTAAACTACTGTACGTAAGAAACAACACCCCTTCCCTGACTCCCACAGCCTTTGAGTCCAATTTGGCATACGGCAACTTATTGAGCGCGTGAACTGGATACAATCAGAAGATCAATTAATTCTGGCATGTCGATCATCGAGATGAGTACAGAAATAGCTTCAAATTCAATACTCACTCCAAAAATTTGTACAAACGCGTCACAACCAGTTAAAATAAGGGACGAAACCACGAGAAAATGTAACACAGACGTTCATTAAAATACTCTGCGAGGCATATGACCTCGAACAGAAACGTAACTGAACAATTTCAACCTGATTCTGGAACCGATAAAGAGTAAGTTTCACTCGGAGAAAGAGAGCATGCGCTGAACTTGCGTTGAACAAAGCAATGAAGAAATAAAATATTTACCTTCAACCTCCATCGCTCCTACGTCATCCAAATCCCGTCGTGCGTCAAATTTGAGATCAGAGCCAACTGAAAGCCACCTATACTCGAACACAAATACCACACAATACAACAAAATGACTCAGCGATTTAGCATTCATAACAACAAGAATTGCCACAGAAGGGGCAACGCATGTTACCTACCAACTGTAAATCCACATTGCGTAGGTTTTCCATGTAACATAATCAAGCATCGAATCGCCACTTACAGAGCCTTGGTTCTCTCCCGTTTCCAATTTTCCCAGATTAATCCAGCAATGGTGCGTCCTTTGCCAACTCCTGCTCCATCCCCCAGGAAAAAACCTGCTCTTGTGCCGTCTGCGAGATGCTGCATATGCCTCTGCAAAGCATATCCAAAGAATTGCGATTTTTGCATCAATATGTAGCATGAGTATACTTTTACTTTAGACTCGCACCCGACGCTGTTTATGTGGTCCAACGAATGATTTATTCAAGACAAATATTAAAGTCCACTCCTCACCATAAGTTTTCGTCTACGAAACAACCAAATCCTGTATATCTTTCATCAAACAAAGTACTCAACAAACTTCCGACAAACCACCCAACATAATATCTCTATGCAGCACTTATCAATGATCAAGAATCAAATATGGAAGATGCTTTTTTGAAACATCAAATCAAGATTATGAACTCCGTATCACAGAAAAAGTAGCAGAAGTTCACCTGTGAAGCATAAACAATAGTCTCGAGTTGCAAACATGATAGAGCCCCTGATTTCTCCATTTCCTCCCTAATAACAAGTTCGTATGTAGGCTCTGGAGGCTGCACAGCTGATAAAGAGGCTGTCTCCACAATTGGATCAGGATGCGGTCGGCCTATTGACAGCTTCGAAGGTTTCTGCATAGACCGCAAATGTGATTACCCTCTTAAATGAAACTCATGAAAATAGGATTTCGATCCAAGGGCATCGTTTAAAAGAAGTCAAGAAAAAGATTTCATATTTGAACGCCTTCGGCATAAAACTACAATTCCTGTCAACGAATTCATAAACAATCGAAGATCAACACTAAATAACCAGGTCAACGCAGAAAAACATATAATAAGAGGTCAATTATATTTGCCAAAAATATCCAGCTCGGTGCTATGCAGAGCTCCACACTTACATAGTCTGTGAAAGTATCTCCTATGGTTCCAGCTTCGTCCTCCTCTTGCTCCACTTCTAAAGCCACCTGTTGAGCATCACCATTCAGAGAAATACAAGATGGAAGTAAGAGTCAACAAAACGATATTAGACCTAATTTTCTTCAAGTACACTAATTATGTAAAAAAGCATTCTAAAAAATTGCACATCTATCAACCATTGTGGCAGTCAGCTCTTTCCGATCACATGCTAATTTTGGCACAATAACTCTTAAGAAGTTGAAAACAAGAATGCGATTCCCAACCATGCACCATTATTGTCCATACTCCACCATCATGCTACGGAGGAAAAGTGGTGTCTGATAGATCATTGTGATATATGCCAGATCAAGCGCATAGTTCAACTCGCGCAACCATTGTTCTCTTGATTCCACTCTGTTAAACAACCGTCATCCTTGATTCGACATTGTGACACTTTCTTTTCCAAGTTCTACGACCAGAATCCGGCGGCTGCAGGACATATAACTCGGCCTGCACTATGTCTTTCATAGAAATCTTAAATTCACGGGAGCCAGTATTCCTGGGATATAAACACTCAGAAACGGTACCAGAAAATTTACAAGTGGTCAAAGTGCCACAAGTACACAGCCAGACCATAACTGTTCCAGCTATGGCGGAATTCAGTACGATACAAATATTAGGTTACGAAGACGCCAGAACACAGAAAAACTCCGCGTTCGCTCCAGTCCGGTGTAAATTTGACATAAGATGGATTAAATTCCGGAAATTCTCAAGGCGGCATAATTTTCAACAAGACGAGTATTCGATGAGGTCAAGCTGCCGTGTGTACCTCGTTAACTTCCTCCATGGCGAAGCCCCCCGCACCGTGGAGCTGCTTACTGTTCCAACCTGTGTCGTCCATTGCATCCGCAAGGCTACCAGGCAAGCCACCAGCAGACACTCCTGTAGGCAGCAATCCCTGTCCACTTCCGAGGGCATTCAACTGCGACAACGAACTCATGTAAGCGGCAAGTTTCACAGGATCCACCGCGAGTTCCACGCGACACTGCGGGCAGACGAATCGAGTGAGGCCGGGGGGAACATTAAGTACGGCTCGACAATTAGCACACGGAAGCTGAATTTTGGTGCTGTCAATTCCACGCGCCAAGCCTTGCGATGATCGCAACTGCGGGGGCAGCACTTGCGGTAGCTTGCATTTCGGACACTGGAAATTGAGAATACCGGAGGGGACGTTCAGAATACGGCGGCACCCGGCGCACTGCACTTGACACGCCGTAGGCGCAGACACCACGACGGGCGCTCCCGTTGTCTGCACCATGCCGACCTTCCCTCTCCTTCCCTCCCTCCCTACCTCCTCGCGCGCGCTAAAGGAAGCGGGGTGAATCTCGAAAGAAACACACTCGAAAACAGACGCAAACGGGGAAAGTGATGAAGAAGTTGGCGGTGACTCCTGGTCTCCACTCATATCGAGCCGAATATAATACCAAGGTCAATTTTAGTCATTGAAACCATCACACGATCCCCGCCAATCCCCCGTCTCATGTCATCACCTAGGGGCTGTGCCTGCCATTCAGCACCAGGTCACCACCAGGTGTGAAACAGGCACACCGGAAGTTGCATTCCGTCGGAACAACAACAATTCCTCACCACTGCAACTTTTTGTAGACCGAAGCGTACTCAGTGCAGCAGAAGCAACGTCCCGTATATTCTCCTCACAATACATCCGATTCCAATTTCTTCTCACACTTTGCGCTCTTTTCTCTTTCTGCTCCACTCTATGACACTCTCTTTTCTCTTGCGACCTTCACTGCTAACTAACAATTTCACCGCAGATTGTGCACATTTTACAGCCTACACTCTTGTTCTACTTCTTCTGCTACGGTACTCGTAGGTCGAAGGAAGCCCTGCAACGCTGCACCCTAGGCACCGGATCACAGCATTGAATGTCTGCAAATGAATAGCAGCACGGAAAGACACTTCCATGGATGGACAGAGCTGTCGTCGTGAGGCATATTATAGATGAAACAATATTTGGATGAGTATCGGGCCCACTCACTCAGTTCTTAAGCTTCTTTTTAGTTTTACTATTGGAATGTCATTTCTCTGGTTCGTGGTTTTGGGACCTTCTCTGTAACATCTGGGAATGATTCGTGTGTTGTTAGCTCGTATGCTTCATACATTAATTTCAAAATAGTCTGAGATGAAATATAGAGTGTTATGAATATATATATATATATATAAATATATGTGTGTGTGTGTGTGTGTATGTGTGTAAGTGTATGGTTACATTGTATCTTTTGTACTTTTATATATATATATATATATATATTAAAATGTACAATTCTTTTGAACATTTATATTCATAAGCTCCTATTTAAAAACAAACCAAAGAAAATAAAAAATTATAATTATAGATGAAAATAAACTAAAATTAGCTAATAAGAGATAAACATCATAATTTAAGAAAAAGAAAAATTTTAATATTATGATAGAAAAAAATTGAGATATATGTTTATAATTTCTAAAAAAAAGATGAAAAAATATAAAGATTTAAATATAAATATATATATATATATATATCAAAATATATAATTTTTTAATTAAATATTTCTAATAAGAAATAAATTAAAAAATATATTTAAGAATAAATTCTTTCAAAAACAAATCAACTCACATTCATAACATGCAAATATACAAAATGTAAATAATAAATAAATAAAAAAATGCAACATTTATTTTGTTTTAAATATATGGATATAGATGTATATTTTTTTTAAATTATGAATTTGATAAGATGTAATTGTCACAAACATACATATTTATCTAAATAAAAAGTACTAAATAGAAGGTAAATCTGGGTAGATTTAATATTATTTTGTGGCAAAGTTTCTTAAAAGCTTCATAGATGCATATTTGACTTTATATATGTTTATAGTTGATTGGTAGGTTAGAAACTTGGCCAATAAGTAAGCTATGTATTGCATGTGTAGATAACTTGTGATATAAGTTAACGATGTAATACGCATATAGAAAACTTGCCATGTAAGTTAAGACATATGTCTTACAAATTGGACCTTCTTCATTCTTCCTAATGCCTTTCAAGTCATTAGTCTTGTTTTAAGACTTTATAATCATCTTATCTTTTGCAATAGCCATTTTAATTCAATATATTATTATTTTTGAATAATTTTCTAGTATATTCTAGTAACTTAAGAATATATTGAGATTATCTTTTTTTAACATTCATATTCTTGATAATTTAATAAGAGTGTTAATTCATTGTCTTTGTTTTGTATTAAAAGTGAGTGATTTACCTCACTTTTATTTTTGAATTTTGAAGATTGCAAACTATTCACTTTTAAACTCAATTTTAGATTTTTTTTCATAAATTTTTTTTCTTAAAGACAATCATTATCTCTCTTCATTGAAACTTTCATTTGATATTAGAGGTTACAAATTATCTTCTTTTAATTTAACTTTAGATTTGTTTAAATTATCTATATAAGAAAAAATTATGGATACTATCTTTAGTAAAAATAAGAATAGATTTGAACTATTATAGATCTTTATGAGCTTGTCAATACTCTAAGGATAGAAATTACACACATCTCTAACATCAACCATGGAGGTAGTATTTTGATGCCTATGAAAGAGATCAATAATAAAGTTCAAAGTCTATGCTAAAAATTTGTGCAATTAAAAGAAATAAGTAGATCAAACTTACAACTGAATATGAGAAATCTTGTTAATACAAGTATAAGAGAGACAAGAATAAGTATGCCTAAGAAGTTCAATGGAATAAGATAAAAAAAAAATTGAAGATTTCTACAATAAGTACAGCTTTATATGAGGTTGCATCTTTCTCTATTTCTTGATGGATTTATTCAAGTTGGATTCATAGGTATAATTTTTTTCTAAGAGTGTTCTCTCTTAGTTTGTACTTTTGATGGAAAAAGATTCATATTACTTTTATATTCTAAATTTATTTTTAAAAGTATTTAAAGATACTTTTAGAAAAAGTAATAAAAAAATGTACTACAAATCAAACTTCTATCTTTATAACAAGCATCATGTTCAATCACCATACATTATCATACTGTAAAAGCTTACAATATGTAAAAATTAGTTAAAATATGTTGTATGTTAATAAATATAGATGTATGTTAGAATGGTTAATAGATTAATTTAAAGAGAGTGGATATAAAAAACTTTATTTTGAATTTTATCTTTTTGATTATAACATTTAAAAAAATTATAAGACCTAAATGTTTAATATAAAGCCTTGAGAGGAGATTAGAGTCTAAAGAAGAAATTCTTAACTAGTAGAAGGCTTATTAAGAGGGATAAAAGTAAGGCATGGTTGAATGAAGGCAAAGAATGGCGATTTTCATTCCTATTAGTTGAACGCTATGTCCAATTGTCACGGACATACTCATGTAAGCTAGTAATTATAAATACAAATAGGTGGAAGTAAGTAAAAATAAGTAAAAGTAAGTTAATTCTATAGTATTTAATATGAAAGCTTCCTAGAAGCTTCATAGATGCTGCTTTGACTTCATAGGTATCTTTAATTGACTTTTTGGATTAGAAACGTGGTCAACAAGTTGGCCATGTGCCACACATATTGTTAGCTTGAAGATCAAGCTAACTATGTAGCCCACACATAGAAAAACTTGCCTTGTAAGTCAAGGCATGTGTCCTACAAAGTCAACACATATTAGAGGTCCTATAGAACGTCGCCACGTAGCCCTTAGTTAGATAGTATATATAGAGACAAGAGTGAAGCCTTCTTCACTCTTGTCAATTCCTTTCTTGCTTCCAGTCTAGTTTCAAGGGTCTCTAGTTTTCTTGACTTTTGGCAATAGCCATTCCAGTTTCTCTTTCAATATATATACTTGTTTATTTATATTTTGTTACCTTTCTTTGATTGAAGGCTCAGTTGTCTTAATTGCTTTTTCATCGAGTTCTTCTCCTTGACTGATTGACAAGAGTACACTTACAATATCAGAGCTTTGTCTAATCTTGATTAAGAGTGGATTATCCCTTTTTCTTGATAAGACATAAGTATATTAGAAGTTGCGGATTACCCTCTTTTAAACTGATATTGTTCTTAGAATTTTTTCTGTTCCCAAGTTCTTTCTTCTATTTTCCTTGAGCGATATTAGACATCTTCTCTTTTCTAAGTGTTATCATCGCAAAACTTGTTGAAATGAAGAGTGCAATGGCACAAATGCAAGAGCAATTGAGAGAGTTAATGCTTGCGATGCATCAACTCAATTTACCACCACAAGGAGCAATAAGATTGGTAAGAAGTGAAGATATAGAAATGGTTGGAGTTGCTTCAACATCTACACCAAACCATGTCCTTTCTCCTATGGTGGAACGCCCTACAAATGTTAGAGAACCAAGAATTTTCCTACCCAAGAAGATTGATGGTACCTGATCTAAGTTTCGAGGATTTATCAATCAAGTACAACTTGTGATTGAACTTCAACCCCAAAGCTATCCAACTCCAAGATCGCAAGTTAGATTCATTGGTACACTTCTTTCAAGTTCAGCACTATCATGATTTTTCATCTTTTCTTGAATGACGAGATCCAATATTGAAGAATCTAGAGGCTTTTTTGGTGGAGTTTCGATTCATGTATGGAAAACATGATGCAATTCATGTTGCAACCAATAAGATCCATATTTTACAATAAGGCAATCGATTAGTAACGTTGTATGCTTCATAATTTTGATAACTTACAACTGATATCAAGTAGGATGATGCTGCACTTATTAGCCAATTTTTCTACGGATTATAATATGAGGTAAAAAAATTAATGCTCAACTTACCTAATCCTCAAACATTGAGTCAAGCAATTGACTTTGTTGTGAAGTGTGACAATCGCCTTTTTGAATTCTAATCTGAGAATCATATAAGTGGACCTCAACGTTACTATAATTCAATAGCAACACCAATACCTCTTCAACATATACATTCGGAAGTAGAGGATATGCAAATTGATGCAGTATGTTTCAAACCTCTTATTGAGCAAGAAAAGACTCGTCGTCACTAAGAAGGATTATGTTTATATTGTGGAGAACCAAAGTACACTACTCAACATTGTCCAAAGAAATGACGTAATCACAAAATGAGGAGTATGGCTAAGAAAGAAGACAATATGTCAAAAAACGAGTTTGTCCAGCTACAATAGGGACCATGCGGCTGGAACCTTGTACAACATCTAATAAAGGTCTTATTCTCTCCTCAGAGCCCTCTCCTTGTTTTACATTAAATGTTATTTTAGGACCTAAATATTACAAAGCCTCTGCCTTGTTAGATTCAGGAGGCCCGACATGTTTCTTAGATGAAGAATTTACTAAAAGACATAGCATATCTTTAGTAAAGAAAACTAAACCTGTTCATGTAGAAGAGATAGATAGTCGTCCATTATCTTCTGGAGGTATTACTCACGAAACCCTTCCTATAGAAGTAATAATCAATGGTCATAATAGCTTTGTAGTATTTAAAATCATTAGATCTCCCTCTAATCCACTCATTTTAGGTTTATCGTGGTTAGAAAAATATAATCCTCAAATAGATTGGATTCTTCAATCTCTTACTTTCTCTAAAAGTATAACTAACAGTGTAGTTAATCAAAAAGAGAGTCATAAGTCCAGTTCAATTAAACCCATATTTATAGGTGCAAAAGCTTTTCTGCATGCTGCTATGAAAGGATCACCATATATTATTTATGCCATAGTTGTTTCTACTGGTGAAAAGACTTCAAGTGGCATTTCAAGTCAATATTAAGAATTTTAAGATGTATACGAAAAAAAGAATGCAGATACACTCTCGGAACATCGTCCCTATGATTGTTCAATTGATCTTCAAGAAAGAACACAACCGCCATTTGGACCAATCTATAGTTTATCACAAA